TGTTGCCTTTCCTTTATATACTGTTTTGTGTCATATTTAATGTCATTCCTGCCGTATATGATAGATATGATGAAAATTATTTTTCGCCTATATATGCGTCAAATGCTTTTAAAAAACAATTCAATTACAGCGTATGTATGGACTCGAAACTCACCTTTTATTCAAACAATAGATAAAAAACAAAAAACTTGTGCCAACAGTAGATACCATACCATTGTATAGCAAGTAGAGTAGAGTTGCAATCAATAAAATTGAACAAAAATATATTATATATGAATTATTTGATAAATAATTAAATTTGTTGTCAAACAAGTTTTTTATTAGAGATAAAAATTTATTCAACAAAACTTAAAAGAAAAAACAATTAATAATAATAATATAATTAATAATAATAATAATTTGTAATTTATAATAGAAATCATTTGCATAGAAAAAGACATTTATCATAATTAAGTAAATTATAATAAACAAGTAATTTGTCGACAATTTTTCGGCAATGGTTTTGATAAACAAAGGGAAAGCCATTATTAGTAATAACTATTAGTACCGCGAAAACATTGTTATAGTCAATGAGTGGCATATCATTGCGCTCTCCATATGAATCAATAGTCCATTTGAATTGAAATGTCATTTAATAAGTATAGCTATTATTAATGAATCGATGGGTGCAAATGAGCAGTTCATATATAAAAAAGTATAGATTATATATTAATTTGAAAATTATTATAATCATTATTGAATATACAGTTATTTAGTAAGCTCTTGTGTGTGTGGTATGCACATACCAGTGCTGTCATGTTTTGTCAAATATGCCTTTCCAAACGCACATACATAGTTCGTGTGATGTGATTCAATACGTATATCGCATATAACGTTAATTTTTTGGCGTAACTTTGGGTTTTGGTGTGTTTAGCATAACATACCGTATGGTATGTTATGGTATACCGTACGGTACGGTATGTAATGATTTTCACTCTCATCTCACGCACGTCTCTCGCAATTTATTGTAACATAACTTACATTAATTGTACGTCTCTTTTGTGAGTCAAACAAAATTCAAATTAATTTTACCCTTTTTTTCGCTGTCTGTCTCTCTATTTAATTAAAGTCATGTGTAATAAAAATAACACAAAAAACGGGCACAAAAATGAAGTTAATTAATGAGATATTGAAAGCTTGGAGACAAAAACAATTCACATTTCTTTTTTGAGTTACGGCTGAGATATCGATAACTATTTAATTAAGTGGTTTTGCTTTGCAATCGAGTTGTCAATTATAGCCAATATTTGCAGTTTCCTTAACGTATGAATAATTAATATTTTGTTGATTTCTTTGGCGGATCCGGTGCTCTCTCTCTCTCTCTCTCTCTCTCTCAGTCTCCCGGTGCCAGTGGAAAGTCATCTCATATGTTGAGATTAGAGATGATATATGAGTCGCAAAAACTTGTGGTTTGTCTCTAATGTATCTCATATTTTGAGGACTCTTTTTGTTTGTTATTCAAAACACGCAATGGTATCCAATTATGGCTAAAAGTTTTTCTCCATATATTTGTTGAGACAAACATTTTTTTCTGTGCAAAACCTGTTGCCTTAAGAACTTCTTCTCTCTCCAGATGTCTTATCATTTAATATTAATTTTGATATAATTCTTAACAAAAAAGTTTATTCATATTTAATCGGAAACAGTGATAAATATATATAATTGTTGAGACGATTGTGAACACAAACTGCACTTTGGATTCTGCGCTAACATTCCTGAGCTCTTCATTAACTGCAAAATAAATAATTAAATATTCATATTTAATCGGAAACAGTGATAAATATATATAATTGTTGAGACGATTGTGAACACAAACTGCACTTTGGATTCTGCGCTAACATTCCTGAGCTCTTCATTAACTGGAAAATAAATAATTAAATAAATTGTAAGCGAAAATGGATAACAAGGCTTGAGTTAATTCACTTCAATAAATAATTATATTTATACGTGTATTACAAATGTTAAGACTATTGAGAATTGGATTGAATTAAAAATTAACGGATTTCTATGGTATGAATAACTATATACAGAGAAGTATAATAAAACATAAATATAACACAACATAACAAATAGAGCGAAGAATATACTATACAGTAGAGTGGAGTAAAACTCTGGATATTATGTTACATAACATGCAAATGAAGTGAGCATTGGATGCAAACCTGGAAAATATTGGATCCGTTTTCGCATCTCGTGATTGATTTCGTTGAAAACGACTAAACACTCAAAAATCGAGGCCTCGTTTCCGTACTTTTCAATTAAATCCCTGTCATTGATATAAACAGAAACACTTGAATTCCAGGCGCCGCTCATTGTTTGCTGGTTGGACTGCACCGGACGGTATATGTCCAGACTCCGAGGGCTACTACCGTCTTGTGCCACTCGGTATATAGTCAGCTCCGGTATGGGATACACTTCACTCACTTTACACAACAGTTCGGACGCCGAAGAACTATAATGTTGTTCATCATTAGAGTAGGAATCACTGGTAATGTCTGTGGCCGTGTGGACAGTCTTGTGTTTCCTGAGGGCAGCGCTGAACTCCTTACGAGTGACCGCTTTGTAACTAAACTCTATATCCTTTGGTGTGGCTATCGATCCAATGAATAGAAAAAACAACAAAAACACAATTAGTTTTCATCAAAAATCTCGCTCTTAAGCGAGTCATCAATAATCATGTACTGTATGACTGCATACCATATATAATCATTGAGCCCTCCTTGGAGTCTTGACTTTGCAGGGACTGGACATGACATTGATATCTACCGCTCAAGTCGACGGTGGGTCGCAACAGATTAAGGGCTCTGTATTTAATTAACGGGTCATTATTGACGGTGTAATTCAAATTGATGCGACCCTGGAGTCGACTGGACGCGTGCCGGAGCCCAAACTCGGCGATGAACTGATAGATAGGCTCGGGGTCGTCGTTGAAGAACCACTTGACCACCAAATTTCGGTCGTCAATCGTGTCCAACGAATAGACACAGTCTAATACCACCGAGTCTTCGGTGCCGTTCTCCACAAGCCTGGGAACCGACATCTCTTTGATTTTCAATAAAGCGCTGCAGATATCTGTCAATCATTTAAGCAAACAATCGCATCAGAAATGGTATTTAATTTGTATGAAAACTAAACTCTACTATATTATAGACTCTCAATCGATGGTTCAATTTTACGGCTAATCCTTTACGAGTGGTTGGGTTTTATGAATAGTAAGTAAAATTGAATAACTTATGAAAATAAATATTATTTGTTGTCTTTTGGCGCATAATTTACTCGCAAACGGGAAAAGCACTCAAACGATTGTCGCCCTAATTTAATTAATTCAAACTCATGTTTAGTTTGACTCAAAATTTGTTTTAATTTAATTCATTACATGTGCATATGCACTGTGTAACATTAAAAAGTGTAGTGCTAGTGATATATATTTTATATAAATGAAATTCAATTTATTTATTGTTTATTTTGATTAACGACTGCATTTGTAGCAAAAACAAATAAGAGAAAAAAATTAATTTAAATTTTATATATCATTTTGGTCTCAAGTGTATGGAGTAATAGCTGACAAGCGTTTCGTGACTAAATATAGGAATTAATTTTGATAAATATGACAAAAAACGGGTAGCGCTTAGTATTAGGCATTAATAAGGGGTTTATTAGAGAGATTTTAATTGAATATCTTATCAGATATAATAAGATTCACAAAAAATCTATCGGTAAGCGTTTGAAATGCAATCCATCACTACTTAATTAGCATTAATTCCTGCCCTTAAATATAAAATATTTGCCAAAATATTAGAAAATATATATCACATCAGCTCTAATCTTGATTAATGACAATTATCTCATGGGATCACAAAGACTTTTGCATCACATTTCCCAAAATACTGCGATATTTTTAAAGTAATATGTTTAAATTATGTTAGTTTTTACATCTAAAAATATTTTTCATACATTAGTTTCCCGATGAATTACCTTAAAAGTTTTAAATCTATTTGCTGGCACTTAGTCTATTGTGAAATATTTAATTAAATTGTATTCACTATAGTACTAAAATATTTATGAAAGGTATGGCATTTCCTAGTAGGGAATTCCTACATTTGCTAATTTAAAGCTCAAAATTCTCACACTTTTATTGGATTTGTCTTCAGATGAATCACAAATGCCTTACGAATGACTAATTCAGTGCTTTAAGTCTATTAATCAGTAATTTGTTTAATGCTTACAATACTACACATGAAATGTTTTCATATAAAGTGAATTATATGAGAGCTTAGCATTCAATCGACAGTTTAATAGAATTATCGCTCAATTCAATGAATGGACTGTAGTTTGCGTTCAAATCGCATATCAATACTGCACTGAAGTGTCTTTGCGGGCGCTTTCACTCGGCTTTACATTTGCTGTACTTTTGTTGTAAATACATGTTTAATACAAGTCTTTCCATGCATTCACTCACTGTTTGATGGTTTTTGATTGAAAAATCTATTTTTCAAAAATCGATACTTAAATAACATTATAATAATGTTTTAAAATATTCATAAAATGTAAATATATAAAGTTCATTCTCTGTGTATTTAAATTTTAAATTTTAATATTTCCACTGAAAAATTACTGCCAAAAAAGATCATTAAAAATGCATTTCAAAAACACTTTACCCAATCATTCATTTTACTAGTCAAACAATAAATTTTCTAAAATTTTATGCCAAAAATATTTACGACTCATAAAAATATGTCTGGAATTTGAAGCCCGGAAACAAGTCTCGAAAATATTGTATATTTATATGTATTTAATAACCCAATGAATATAAAAAATATTATTTAATTTAACGCCAGAATTGAAAACTAGGAAAAAACACATTCAAAAGAAATAGAAATGTTTGAAAAGGCATTGATTTTTATTTATGATAATAAAAAAATACCTGTAAATAGCGAAAGCTATACAAATTTCTACTTTCTATTTGCACTTTCATTAGACGAAAACTTTTTTCTCTCATTCATCTCATTAAGTGATTGCAAATAGTTTTCGAATTACTTTTGACATCAAAATTAAAAACCTTTTTATATTGCAATGATTTTTCTTACTTAAGGAAACGTTACAATTAATTCTCTCTCTTCTAGTCTATACTTCAATAGCTTTTTTCGTATTTCAATTGCTTTTTGGCTTTGCATGAAAGGCAGGCATACCTTACGGTTCTATTGACTCGTTTTCTACAAATTTCTCTTCTCCTCCATCTATTCAGTCGACTATATTTCTCATTACATTCAAGTCATCGTGCGATCAGACATTTCCTTTGCAACTCAAATGTTGTGCTCAGCTGTAGATTCGCTGCAAGTTTTTTTGACCAAAAATATAGCTCTTATATCGTATAATCGCAATGAGATCTGAAAAATGTATAAATTTTAACATCACTTTCCGTATGAGCTCTGAAAAAGTGCAGCTATTTTTGAATGCTTTAAATATATAGCACACGATTCACATAAATAAAAGTCTGTGTCGATGCCAGTGATAGCCGTTTCCATATTTATTACTCGGATATGAGTTAAGCTTTGATTATTCCTGCAGTATATTCAACGCAAATGCAAAATATCTACAGTCTATTGAGAATAGTTTTTTTTCATAAATATATTAAATGCAATCTAAACACAAAAAATTGTTATTAACTTGAAGTTTGTTTGGTTTTTAATAGTATGAATACTTTTATAATAAAGAAATATAGTCACTATTACAACATATCTTTAAAATTTGCTTTATTTTAATATTTTCGAAATCAGATAATTTGTATTCAGTTTGTATGCTATTAACTAAAGTACAATAAATTGCTTTTTTCAATGTATTAATTAAAATACAGTCGATTCACTACACCAACTACACCGCGATATTTCACATTATTAGTTGCAAAACAAGTTTTTAAATGCTTTATTAACATAAAATATATGGCAAATAAAATATAAATTCATTTTGAAAACATTAATAAACTATAAATAATAATTTTGTAATTAATAATCTTTTAGAAAAAATATTAGTTTGTGATTTATTAACCAATATATCACTAAATATCAATATTTATGCAATTATGTGTAATCAAAGTTTCTCATACAGTAGATTGAGTTTTAATCAATATATACGGTAAGCAATCAATAACTAAAAGCTAACATTTCAAGTGTTATATTAAATAAAAGAAATGCATTTCCCATAAAATTAGTTAAGTTTTCTGTGAGCGAGCCATTAGTTTAGATAAATATTAGTTCAATAAAATTCAAGCGATTAAATCAGTTGTCAATTGAACGTGTATTAAGTGAAGTGATGTAATGAATGGATATATTTGTCATTTTTATAACAAAATTATTGAACTAAAAACTTAGTCTAGAAAAACGCAGCCATTAGTACGAAAAACACCATTCAATACATACTTACACTTAATATAATAATCGAGAGGGAGAGGGGAAAGGGAGGACAGGGAGATAGTGTGTGAGGGAAGAGTTGTGCGAAATAAAAGTGTCATAAAAAGAGAGTGAACTCCAGCCGGGAATTAAAGTAAATGTCTGTTAATTTGAGAAAAACGAATTCAATCGTGGATTTGAATACATTATACGAGAAAAAACACAATAAAAGTAAAAAATATAAGCGAAGAGTGTTTTGAAGTGCTGATTGAGATGAGAGACTGTCCTATACTATAGACTCATAAATGGTTTTGAGTGACAGTAAAACGAAGTCATAACAGAATAAATTTATAGTTGGGACTAAAATAGAGGGTTTTTTAAGAAATAAATTTTGCATAAGAATTACACGACTGAAAGAGAGAGAGAGAGAGAGAGAGAGAGAAAAGTGCTTTTTATTTATGTGTCGCTCAATGGCTGACAAACACTCTGTTGAGAGTTCACGTCAAGAGGAGAGAGACACTGATTACGAGCGCATAGTTTGCGACTAAAAGAAACAAAAGTAATCGCCTTATAATCTCTACTCAATAATGAAAACCGTATTTTTTGTCCATTAGATAATCCTATGACAACACAATTCTCTATCGCTTTTCTCCTTTTTTGTCATCTTTTTTGTCGTCAAACTGTTTGATTCAATGATATGGTTAGCCCGAGTAAGAGTGAGAGTGCACTCCTACTGTACACTACATCCATAAGCCATAACTAGCCATTGGAAACCATTCCACATAACCAGAGCCTAACCCAAAGACCATTACATGTCTGTTCACTTGTGTCATGCATTCGGCCAAACCATTCACTGCTACTCTCAACGCAAAAGCCAATTGAAAAAACTAAAATGATTTCAATCTTTTCTTACGATACACTTAGCAATTGTGTGTTTATAACGGGTTTCTGACTCCACGAACATAACAGACAAATGTGCCAAACATTGAGAGAAGACTAGTGGAGAGTGTATGAGCCGACTATGTACTCAATGCACTCAAAATTTGTTCATAAGACACACCAAATGATGGATATATTCGTGTAATTTTAAAACACAAGAGAAAAGAGATGAAAGTGAAGAACTCTCGAGTGGATTCAGTTTCACAAATACACTACACATTTGGAGATCACAAATACAACAGTATTTGTATTACGATATGCTTTACTCTGTGTACAGATATCTATGCTATTTGTCTTTAAGTATTTTTTGTTTCAATATTTTTTTCGCTAAATTAGTTTTATTATTACTATTTTTAAGAGTAAAGTTAATGGATAAGAAGCGAACAAATGAACAAAATTAGAAACTAAAATATTAAAACCAAATGCACTCAATTGTAATCCGAAAACAATATAAATTTTCTAAGTTAGAGGTTTTCCCATTGTAAGCCCTTTTTATTTTGCCTATTGTGTTGTTTATAGCAAAACACGAGTCCATAAAGTGGTGAATGAATGGAAATCTCTTTTAATTAGCGAACATTCATTCGCAATGAATCCGTGCCTCACATCTAATCCTTTATTTATCTTTATGTCAAACTCTGACTACGGCTCCAAAAAAGGACTACAAAAACACTTTATCCGAAAAAATCACTTTTATTTACGTTCGCCTCTTTTTACTGTAAATTCTTGTTTTATAAATACCTCATAAGACACGCGAAAGTCATTAAAAAGTTTTATCGACGCTATTAAACAGTAATAAATTCAGCTGCAAATTGAACATCAGATTAGTTACGAAAACACTATAAAAATAAGACAGAAATTATTGAATATTCAAAACGAGAAATGATTTGAAGCGTAAAGTATATACAGAAATAGATTTGTCGCACAATTGTACGCGAGATATGCGGAGACTGTATATGATTTGTGGCACAATTTGTTATGACTTTGCATTGAAATCTGTGTTTTTGAAAAATAGTATAAGACTTTTATCCGATGGTGGATATATAACATCAGATTTACTGTGCTATATGTGCTGTACACATAACTGGCCAGTCATTCACCAGTACAATATTATCTCAAATGCAATTATCGTTTGAATGGAAATATCTATTTTCGCATATATTTTTAAATTGATTTACATTTTCTCAAAACTCGATTCTGTGGAAATTTTTATCCCAAAAAATGTTAACAAAATTAGAAATTTCAAAAAATTCAAACTTTCTACTAAAAAATACTGGTGCTATGAGAATGAACGGTAAGAGTAATGATTGGAGCACCGGTAGAGATAATTGGGTGATTTGTATTCTGTGCGAGTAATCAAGTTATTCTTGTAGAGCACTAGCATTGCACACAATTATTATTATTATTCTAAGTCTCTTAAGAATAAAGGTATTGCATCAGTAAATCCGATGCCTTTCCACCACCACTGCACACATCATTCAAACGTTTCACTCCATACCAGTGCTATTGAGAGGCTGGGAGGCTGTGAGAGAGATAGCACTGAATGACACCACAGTCTCTCGCATGCAATACATAGAGACTTACTATACGTATATTGCTTCACATTATCTCTAAATTCACAATCAGTTTATTTTAGTGTTTATATTCTGATTTTGTACTATAAGTATAGCCCATATTACTGGTGAGGTATATAAAACTCAGTGCATTAAGGAGTTTGAGTGTTAGAGAGAAGTCTATAATCAAATAAAGTGAGAATTGAAAACTTAAAAAATTACTTTAATATAAGCCTTATGTTTGTGAGATTTATACGGATTGAATGCCATTCGAGTCAATGGTATAAAAAACAGATATGATAATAGCGTTTGACTGCAATATTTGGCTATAACTTTAAACTCAGTTATTAAGATAACATGAAATGCACTCATTTGTGTATAAAGTATGGAATTATTGAATATTATATTTGATATTGATATTCAGCTAAAAGCTTGCATTAAAAATGAAACACAAAGTTATGGACAAAATGTGGGGCAAAATGCAAGCTTTCAATCAATTGAACACAACTAATGTATGATTGCATTAACAGAATTGTGAAATACAAGTCTTATGTGACTATAATGGATATGATATGATAGGTCTGATAAGTTTGATAGGTTTGATAGTCTCTGATATGTTATCAATAATGTGTGACTTGACGTCCGATTTATACGAAATATTTTGAGAGAAAAAGTTACGCAGAAATGAGTTTTTGCTTTCTTATAGCGTATGGAGAGTCAGAAAACGGATTGCTATCCACGAGAATCGTTCATTTGATAAAATAAAAGCTACATATGATATAATAATTCATATTTTTGTTTGCAAATTGCAGTATAACTCATAATTTGATTGTACGCTTAATAGCGAACACACCTTAAACTTATTGCATTGAAATACATATAAATATTATTGAATTAATGAGCGATTCATTAAAAATAAAAGCAAATCCACGCGATATTTGATATATTACACTATTATAACATTATTAAATTTATTAGACTTTTAGACATAAAACTTTATTTTATATTACGGTATTAGTGTCTAATAAAATGAAAACAAATGCATTTAATGAATTTATTGATATTTCTCTATGATATAGTCGTATACATAGTCGTCAGTCATTATTGAGAATGAGATTAAAAAAGTTAAATATTAGAGAATATTAAAAATATAAAGTATATTTGCATTCACTGTAAATGTATTGACTTACCGGCTAAGAGTAGTGTAATGACAGACAATGCCAATATTTGGCTGTACTTTTTGGCGACAAATTTTGAAAGTTTCAAAGTTAACAAACTATACATAGCGTTAATAGTATGATCAATGAAAATATTACTTTAGATATACACGATACAAAACAGAAAGAATTATATTTTTCATAATAATAATTATTATGATTATTATTGTATATTTGATTTAAATATTATTACTGTTATACACAATATTATATAAATAGTAAAAGCAGTGGTTATTATGGATATTGAAGTACAGAATTATACAAATGTATTATTATTTGTATGATTTCTGGTTTCATAAACAATGTTTATGGCTAAACGTATGTATATTTGCAGTTGATATCGATCTTAATTTATGAAACATTCATAGAAAAAGAGTCCAACAAATATGCCGTGAGTTTGATATATCACTGAATATATATTTAGACGATACTATACTGAAAGCAAAACCGCTATTTTCTGCACAGATATGCCATTCAATTGAGTTATTCAATAGAGGTATGTATTGAAGAGCTCATCGGAGGTAAAGGGATGATAGCATAGCATCGCTTCTCCATTAAGTGAATTAACATTAGAAACGATCGCTATTTTCATGAGTTGACAACAAATTCCCAAAACTGTGCACAAAAAACTTTAAAACTCTTAGTCTATGCAAACTCAATGATCGCACGATTATGATGATTGTGTCTCGTAATAACACACACGTTGCCTAAGAAGTGACAACTCCTGGGGACTGGTAGCTGTTGTTCAACACATTTGGCACACATTATCGGCGAGTGAGTGACTGTCTCTCTATCAGTTCTCCACCACATCTATGACTGCTATATCTCTATGCAATGCAATCCATAGGCAACTGCCGGCGCACTGACAACCGATCCATAGGCGGAGATGTGGAACGGCTTACTCGACATAAGGGGTGCTTCGCTCACAACCTACCGGTCCCTTCGCATCCATACACCAAACGCTGGTTTTAATGATTTCGATTATTTATCAAAAGAGCACTTATATTATTGTTTATATTTATAATTGTGTTTAAAAGCGATTCCCTATTTAGACAATACATTGCTGGACAAGACATGCGACACAAAGCACTTCATGTAATGAGTTTTGAGGAAATGAGATGTGAATTAGACTAATATATCGGTGCCAGTCATCCCATTCCTCTCACCTTTACTTTTTTACTTAATTAAAGCGATTGAATATTACATTGAATGACAATTCGTGACGAAAATCATACCAAATCTCTTCATATGATTATTAAAAGATACCGTAATTCAAGAATTACTGTATTATATATTATACAGAATTTTATATATGTTATGCTATGAGAGACCCGAAACTTACGATTCGTACATATCGTGCAATTGTATGACTAAACACATTGAATTCAAGCAAAACTAAGGTATATAAACCAAACAAAATTGTATTAAAATAGAGATAAAGAGAAAATTATGAACGAAATGTAATATTTTAGTTAAGACTGCAGTATATGTTGTGTTATTTATATGTCGAGCACTTGTGCTTTATTTGGCGAAAGATTGATACACCAAATGAGGAATGAGTTCGTGACCACAATCTCAATATTACATCCAAAACGACACATACTATTGTATAAGACATACCATACAGTAGTTGTTGTTTGTCTTTTACAGCTCTCTCTCTCTCTCTCTCTCTCTCTCTCTTATAAATGTCTTGAAAACTTCAGTTTCGGGAATAACTGTACTTTTGTTACCAATGCGAACATGAGTTGCAATCAAATTGTATGAAATGCTGGCAAAGCTTTTTATAATGCCTTTCACTACTCATTGTCTAATATTATATATTTTCGGTATATTTGTTGCCAACAAATAAAATACAGTAAATAATCATCAATTCGTGTGTTTTTCTTTCAATAATATACTAAAATAAATCCATTGAACAAAATATATATTATATATATAAGAAGCCGTGAGAATCCAATACATGACTATCGAGTGGTATAGAGGTTCTTGAGATGGCGATGGAAACGCCCCACACTTTATACCATAAGACACTTCATATCAAATAAAATTAGAAATCCATTATCGCATGCATTCCATGAGTGTCTTCACGTCTAACCAATACTTTAAACCGAAAAAAAGTTTTTGCGTTTAAAAGTGTCAAAAGAAATGTTTAAAACGGGAATTACTTTTAGAAAAACTGCAAGACGTGTCGAGAATTACATATTCTATACATAATAATAGTATTCTGTCAGTTGAAAGGAGACACTCCATTGAAGACCCGACTGTCAACATATGCTAAGAAGTTGATCCCTGAGTCCGTGTAATAAGTGCCTAATCTTCTGGTGACAACACATTTGGATAATATGTGCCACACTTTCATAGCAAGCGATGGTTAATGCGATCAAACATTCCTTTCCTTTCGCTATATTTGATTGCAAACTATAATAAAGTTTGGGAAACAATGGCAGTGAATGTGTCGGCAGTCTATTGAACGCCAGGCGCGCACAATAAGATACAGTGCTATACAATAGACTTAGCAATGCCTCAAATATATCTAATTTCCCAAAGGATTATCCGTTGGCCACAGCGTCTACTTAAGCGCCACAAGAGGCCATCCATTCTCGAGAGTCGGAGTCACGTACTCTTACGGCACACTCTTTATTCAAACTTACAATCAAATTAACCCGGAGTTCAACATAAAAAGCTTGTCATCAGTCAATTGCCAGCCGCCACTGCCAGCACTTCACCATCACTTGTCTCGCACTTAATATACTGAATACCACTACAAGAGTATCATCTTTCAGATGCTCTTTATTAATGGCAACGCTTACGAGTCTAACCCGAAAAACATACGATACTTTTCGTTGCAAATGTTTTTTTGTTTGATAGGAAATACGGTACGAATGCCTTTTGAAATATGACAAGATTATCCGATTTTTTTTGTATCACATTTACCATACACTCATTAAAATCATATTATTTGAATCAAATTTATGTTTTTTTTGTATTTTGCAAACTCTTTATTTCACTGATAAATTGATTGAATTTCTTACGCATTATATAAATAGATTTGGAAATATGTTGCAAAAGTATATAGCATTCAAAATATTTATTTTTATTATAAAGCGTTTGATATTCAACGAAATAATTTGCAGTAATTTTTGCGTGAAATTTGGCTCAAAAGAAGATTTTCGCTCAAAAATATCTTTGAATATAAGGAGTGTTTCGAAAAGATTACTGAAAGTCGAGACAAATGAGTAAATTCTTGCAAAATATAGAAATTCATAAATGACTTCAAGTTATGAATTCTTACTCTTTTCGTATGAGTTCATGAGTTATGTAAATATGAAAAATGTTTTAATTTAAGTAAAATATTTGTCAAAGGCTTTCCATTAAACAAGAGTCTCATATGTACTCAACCGGTAATTCAATTTAGGGTTATTCCAGACAACGCCTAAAATAATTATTTCAATGCATATAATACTATACAAACTTATGAAATTAAAAACTTCATATTTTT